ATCAGAGTGCTGAGACTTAACCCCTTGGCCACCAGGGAGGCCCCCAGTAAGTACACTTTTTAACAATGCAGGTCAGGTTAGAAGAAATGATGAATGCTGAATTTTTATGTTAGTGAAGTTTTTGGCAGAGATCCTTATTCAAAATCCAGTTGTCCATTCTTATGTCTAAAACTCTTTCAGTACTCATTTTTTAAAATAGAGATAACACTGGTTCACAACACAGCATAATTTTTACATATTTCTCACCTCAGTATCTGTATGTCATACCACACCTGCCACCAAAGTTTCCATCCATTACGATATATTTGACTCTGTATACCCATTCTGTCTTCCCTGCTTGTCAGAATCTAGGTTTGTTTCTTTTGTTCATTTGCTTTGTTTTCCACATGATGAAATTGTATGATAGGATTTTCATATATCATCTCACTCCTTTCCACTTAGCATAATTCCCTTTAAGTCCATCTACACTGTAACAAGATGGCAAGATTTCATCTTTGTATAGCTTCGTAGTACCTCGTGCACATACCATATCTTTATCATTCATGGGCTCACTGCTTGTTGCCGTATTTGGCTGCTGTGAATAGTGCTGCTGTGAATATAGGAGTGTGTGTATCTTTTAAACTAGTGTTTTATATTTGGATAAATACCCCAAAGTAGAATTGCTAGATCACTTGATAGTTTTATGTTGTAGATTTCTTGAGGCATCTCCATACTGTTTTCCATAGTGACTCTACAATTCATCACGTGAATGTTCCCTTTATTTACATCCTTGTTGAGGACTCTTGCTATTTCTTAAAAATAGCCTCTACCCGGATTTAACTTTGGTTGTCTATAGGAATACAAAAAATTCAGTTTTTTCCTTTCCTTCCAGTTTTGACCATGCTGACTAATGAAACTGGCTTTGAGATAAGCTCTTCTGATGCTACGGTGAAGATTCTCATCACAACAGTGCCACCGAATCTCCGGAAACTGGACCCGGAGCTCCACTGTTAGTCTTTTTTCCATTGCTGGGGAATTTGGGAGAAATTCAAAACATGGAGTCATATTGCTGTTGCGTTTACTTAAGTTTGATGCTATTTGTCGAGCTTTCTCTGGGACATAGGTTTACCCCAAACTTTGCTTTCTCTCTAATTTTACCATCTTGGTTGTGAACTTGTCAAAGACAGGATGGCTCAGAAAGTATTTTGAGAACTTAAGGACTGAGGAAATAATTATGAAGACGGTAGACTCTTGAAGATTTTGCATGTTTCTAGAATGGTGTGAGGAAGGAATGACTGATTTTTGGACAGGTGACTTGCTGGTCTGAGGGACATGGGGTGATTTCAGGAATTAAGTTTATTCTGTCTCCTTTTAAGACGAAGGCGGTAGAATTGAATTGTTTTATCTTGGTTTGTCATGCTTGTCTTCTAGTGGATATCAAGGTGTTACAGAGTGCCTTAGCAGCCATCCGGCATGCCCGCTGGTTTGAGGAAAATGCTTCTCAGTCTACGTGAGTCTCACATCTTTCTATTTTGAGTTAATTTAGCCATTCTCAGTACAGTGAGTAATAGCAGGATACCTCCATGTTTCCTATTATTTTTTAAAGATTTAATTTATTTTTTTTATGCATCGAGAATGGGTACTGGTGCCAGAGTGGGCAGGGTAAGAGGACTCACTGGAGACAGAGTGGGAAACAGAACACACAAATCTATTGAAACACACTGCTGAGCAGAGCAGCAGAAGAGACAGGAGAGGTCTGCTGTGTCATGTGGGTCAGCTCCATGGATGGGGATTGAACTCAGGCCTCAGTGGCTAGCTCCATATTCCTTTGAAAGAATTTTTTGGCTGTGCTATTTTGTGTGGATTTTTTTTTTTTTTTTGTATATTAAGCAATTTTGTGAAATATAAAGAACATAATAGTCTAGAAAATAATTTCAGCTCTCTACTTTAGGTGTGAAAGTTTGTGATCTTAGTTTAATCCATGGTTCCCTCTTACCCTCAGAGTTAAAGTTCTTATCAGACTGCTGAAGGACCTGAGGATTCGTTTTCCTGGCTTTGAGCCTCTCACACCCTGGATCCTTGACCTACTAGTAAGTAAAGAAGGGCAGTTGGGGTTCCTGATCATCCCTGTTTAACAAAAATTCTAAAGGTAGAGCCTGAAATTTGGTGAAACTAAGAAGAAATCTTACTAGTGGACAAATAATCCAGTAGACTCGGTTTATTTATATCATTGGGTTTTTTGTTTGTTTTTGTTTTTGAGTATTCAACAAAATAGTTTAATCCAAGTTACGGTGGCCCTTTTTCATTATTTCTGTCTGAGTAAGCAGTCATCGTAGAATTATTTCTGAATATGAAAATTTTGGTAAAAGTTTGTTTTTCTCATGAGGCTTTAACATTTTGTTAGTTTTACGCTAGAATTGCTACTTGGATGCTATACCTATCAGATTTATTGTTTATTTTTTTCAGGGTCACTATGCTGTGATGAACAATCCCACCAGACAACCTTTGGCCCTAAATGTGGCTTATAGGTATAGCAGATGTCTTCGTTTTGGGGCTGGGTGTTAGCTGTCTTGTTTGGTTTTGTTGCTTATGACATAATATTAATACAGGCACATCTTGGAGCAGGGTTTGTTATAGACCACCACAGTAAAGTGAGTAATCACATTAAAGGAAGTTACTTTTGGGGGGGGGTTCCTAGTTCATATAAAAGATATTTACCTTATACTGTGGTCTTAACTGTGCAATAGCATTATGTCTTTAAAAAAAAAAAGATACAAAAATGTACATATCTTAATGTATGAGCTCTCTGTTTGGGGTTTCCACATACCTTCCATTAAAAAAACACACACACAGTAGAACAAGGTATGGCTGTATTTATTTAAAGTAGCATGTTTATAGTAACACTCGATCTGTGTATTAATGCCTTGTATTTCAGGCGTTGCTTGCAGATTCTGGCGGCAGGATTGTTCCTGCCGGGATCCGTGGGTATCACAGATCCCTGTGAGAGTGGTAACTTCAGAGTGCACACAGTCATGACTCTGGAACAGCAGGTATGAAATTGCCTGTTGTGCCCCACTCTTGGGTGCCCTTGGTCAGAAGGCAAAGGGAATGTGTTCTTTAGGGTTGAGGGCTTTGGGGGTTCTCAAAAACTTTTGGTCTTGAAATTAAAACTTATCTTCATGTCTGTTTGCACGAGAATGTTAGACAAATAAGGTATTTTTTGCTAATCTCCCCTTTCTCTCCTTAAGGACATGGTCTGCTACACAGCTCAGACTCTGGTCCGAATCCTCTCTCATGGTGGTTTTAGGAAGATCCTCGGCCAGGAGGGTGATGCCAGCTGTGAGTAACTTTCGTTTGACTGGAGTTCATACAGAATCCTGTAATCTACAAAGAAGCTCTACATTACTCAGATGTCTTTTAACATCTCCACTATGTAGCTCATAACTATGTGCTGGGTTGTCTGAAATCACTTTTTTTTTAAAAAAGATTTATTTATTCATACAGAACTGGGGTAGAGATGTGGAGGGCCAGAGATGTGGAGGGTGAGAGGATTCACCAGGAACAGAGTGGGGAGCAGAACAGGCAGATGTACTGAAACACACTGCTGAGGGGAACAGCAGGCGGGTCAGGAGAGGTCTGCCACGCCATGTGGATCTCCTCCGGGGCAGGCAGGGATTGAACTGCAGAATTGGCTTAAGCTTCTTAGTGCAGTGCTTTAACCCGCTGTGCCACCAGGGAGGGCCCTGAAATCACTTTTTAAGATTTATTTTTTATTTATGCATACAAGAACTGGGGTGTAGGCCAAAGGTACTGGGGGGGAGGGGGAGGTGAGTGGTATCTCACCAGAAATAGAATGAGGAGCACAACAGGCAGATTGAAATACACTGCTGATGGCTGGAGTAGGTGAGACAGGAGAGGTCTGTGCCCTGTGGGTCAGCCACCTGGCCAGGAATTTAACTGTGTTGGCTGCTGATAGCTTGATAGCATTGAGACCTTAACTCCTTTGCCACCAGGGAGGCCCTAAAATGATCCTTTTTTCCTCTTTTAGACCTTGCTTCTGAAATATCTACCTGGGATGGAGTAATAGTGACACCTTCAGAAAAGGCTTATGAGAAGCCACCAGAGAAGAAGGAAGGAGAGGAAGAGGAGGAGAACACAGAAGAACCACCTCAAGGAGAGGAAGAAGAAAGCATGGAGACACAGGAGTGACTTCTTCACTCTTTCTTACCCAAGAAGAAGAATGGAGCCTAAGCTAACTCCTGAGCTTTATGTGGTGGCATTTCTGAAGGACAAGGGAAAGGGGAAGGAAAATGAACTCTAGAAGAAAATGTCATTCCAGTGGGTTCTGATACTGGCTTAGTAGCCAGAGGTTCCATTGCCCTATCTGTAGTGAAGCAAGATACCAACTTGTAATACCCTAGAATTCCCCACTCTTGGAAACCTCTCACCATTAGTTTGTTGTTGAAATGTTACGAACTTAACAGTGTCTGGACATTTTTTTTCTAAGAAAAATTATTAAAAAACTTCCTAGTAGGGCTTTTGGTCTTTATTTTCCTTGGCATCTGGCAACATTTTGGGCTGCCTTTTGCTTTCTATGCTTCATTGAAAATGATACTGTACTCATTGTAAATACTGGATCACAATTTAAAGCTGTATTTGAATTAAGATACAAACATTCTTGGAGCCTTTCCATATACCAGAGTAAACTACTGTTAAAGCATTTATTGAGTTTAATGGTTCTAGCAATATTGCAGTTCTCTACTCAAGCTAGTGCAGTCAACAGGTTGGATGGTCATTCACCTGTACGCTCTGCCAAACTCTCAGTGTAAACAATGGAAACTGAAAAAGTCTTGGGGAGAGGACATGCTGACAAGGCCCCATCCACCAGGCAGGTAGCAGAGGAAGCCCTTTCCTGGTTAACTTGACACAAAGAATGTAAGGTGGTGGGCTTTAAATACGTAGCTTTAAAAGAACTGTAATTTCATTCTTAGAAGCAAGAGTAAGCGTCCCTCGATCCCAAGTCCTATGGTACAGAGGCTTTTTTAGGCTCCCACATAAATAAAAATTAAGTGCTTCAAACAAACAGTAGGGCTGCCTTTCTGATGTCCAAGGTCTATGGGGAGTCCTGGAACAAGGGAGCTGGGGACTAGTATTTGTGCTATATATATCTGTGAGGTGTAGGTGCGTCTTCTGGCCTGTTACTTGCTTGGGGACCCAGGGGGGTAAACTCCTGAGTCCAGCATTGCCCTCCTGCGGGCTGTTTCCTTGGCAACACTGTGGTTTAGCCGCCTTAGCCGTTCCTACAAGACAAGGAAAATTTGGAACCTTAATAGCTGTGAAAGGCTTTAGAACTTATTTTCAACGAGGAAAAATCTTAGGCCTGGTCCACCTCAAATTGTTCTATAAAAATGCACACGACTGAACTGGGTATAGAGAATAGGTGTAAGTTCTACCACTTTCCTCAAAGCCTTCAAAAATTATGGTGTCTTTCATTGTGTTGCGGATTTTGTGACACTCCTTGAAATCTGGAGGATGCCCTGAGGACTTAAAAAGCAGGCAAAGAATCACTGCTGGTAAGACATTCTTTTACCTGGGCATTCTGTAGAATGTTGTTGACCAAGACCACTCGTCGCCGGGCATTAAGAAGTTTCTTCACATAGGGGTCAAGATCCAGGGCCACCTTCTGATCCTCATTGATTCGGCACAGCTCTGGGGGTAGACGTAAGGTACAATTAACACCCAACGGCGCATCTCTAGTTTTTAATACAGGTACATGAGGTGGAAAACATTTTTGTACCTACATGAGGCACAGTCACCAGAAACAAGTGGGAGTGCACTGGCAACCCTAATGTCCTGGAAACAAGTAGTAGAAACCCAGCCCAGTGGTAGGTTAGACAAGATACTGAAAGTGAGTTGGAGGATTCCGGGCACAGGGCATGCTCACTCACCGGTAGCTAGGTTGTCGATTTGTTCCCGTAGCTCTACCTGGCTCTCTCTGCAAAGATGCACAAGGTCTACAGGGTCAGACAGTTGATGCGACTCATGACACTAATTCCCAATTGCTGAGAGAGGGCGTCCTCAGCCCTCAGGCTTTCCGCCCCACTTCCTAGACCCCAGTTTGCTAAATTTTTCTTAATCCCACCTGAAAGCAGCGGGAACCCATCTTGGCTCCGCCCTTTCTCGGGCCCGCCCCTACAAAGCCAAATCGAGAGGCCCCGCCTCAATCTTCCCTCTCAGGCACCTGACGGCGTGGACGTGAGAGTCGAGCTGCTGCACAGCCGGTCGCAGGAACTCGAGGAGACCCTCAGCGAACAGGTCGCGGCCTGCGGGCCCCGCCACTGGGGTCCCCGCACCGGACACGGCGGCGGAACCGGCCCCCGCCATCACACCCGGCCCTTACGCCCGGAACCGGCCGCGAGGGCCGCCGGGAACTGAAGCACTGCTAAAGTGTGCCGGGAGAGGGCGCCCCCTACTTGGGCGCTGGGATTCCTGGGAAATGGAGTCTCTGCAGCTGCAGGGCGGGGAGAAGACCGCCCTGGAGCCCGCCGGGAGTTGTAGTTCTTTGTAGGCCTTTCAGAGGTGGGTTTTGGAGCTCTTGAACTTGAGGGCTGGGATGCAATCACTTTGGAGGTTGGGAACTTTTTGTTTTATCCAAAGTTGAAAAATAAATGTTTATATTCCGTTGTCCTGTGCTAACTTCACAAGAAAACCAGACTATATATTCTGTCATAGGGTTTTTTGTTTATTTTTGGTAGAAGAAATGGAGTGTAGGTCAGAGGTGGGGAAGAGGGAGTGAAGGATTCACCAGAGACAGAGTGGGGAACTGAACAGGCCGACTGACCAAAACACACTGCTGAAGGGAGCAGCGGGGGAGACAGGCAAGCTCTGCTGCTCCATATGTGGGTCAGCTCCCTGGCCAGGGATGGAACTCAGGCTGTAAAGGTAATAGTGCCACGATTTAACTCCTAGGCCACCAGGGAGGCCCCATAGCATAGTTTTCTACTTAAACCAGATTATATTCATAGCATGGTTTTACATTTCTAAGTTTAGGTATGTATTCTTTTATTGTCCTAAGGTATGTACAAAATTGCAAGTGACTGTTAGCCTGTCAAATAACAAAACCCCAACATAGTTGATTTTAAAGCTCTAGCTGACTTTACTAAATGATTCATGATTGGGTCAGCATCCCGTCTAGAAAGTAGATGGCACTGCTGGAAACTGTGTAAAATGGAACACATTTAGGGCCTCCCTGGTGGTGTAAGGGGTTCAGTAGCAGCACTGTGAAACTATCTGTAGCAAGAGTTAGATCCCAGACCAGGGAGGTGACCCACATGGTACAACAGACCTCTCCTGTCTCACTTGCTACTCCCCTCAATAGTGTAATCTGGCTGTTCTGTTCCCCACTCTGTCTTTGGTGAATCCTCCACACCACACATCTGACCTATACCCTAGTTCTTGTATGCATAAATAAATGAATCTTTTTGAAAAATGGAATACAGGGCCCTCTCTGGTGGCACAATGGGTTAGGACACGGCACTGCAAACCAGCCGCAGCTGCTTCAGTGCAAGTTCCATCCCTGGCCCCAGAGGTGATCCACATGGTGCAGTAGACCTCTCTGACCTGCCTGCTGCTCCCCTCAGCAGTGTACTTTGTCGATCTGCCTGTTCTGCTCCCCACTCTGTCTCTGGTGAATCCTCTCACCACTCCTGCACCTCTGTCCTGCACCCCAGTTCTGTATGCATAAATAAATAAATAAGTCAAAAAAAAAAAAAAAAGAATACATTTATAGTCAGAAAAAGGGTGTAGGGCTCTCCCTGGTGGCACAAGGGGTTAAAGCAAAGCACTCTGAAGATACCCCTAGCCAGTGCAGCACTAGTTAGAGTCCCAGCCAGGGAGGTGACCGCAGACCTCTCACTCAGCAGTGTATTTCATTGGATTTGCCTGTTCTGCTCCCCACTGTCTCTGGTGAATCCTCTCGCACACACACACACACACCCACACACCTCCGACCTGTACCCCATTCCTTGTATGTATAAATAAATAAATATTAGGGAAAAAAAGAAGAGGGTATAATAAAGTCATTAACAAAAGAATTACTTTGGGCAAAATCACCTTCCTTTATTAGCTATAAGCAGGAGTGTTTTATCATGCAAGTGACTTCATCTGTGTTAATTTGTTAACTTTAACCTTCCCCTCCCAAACTGATTTAATTTCTGCTTTTGGGAGAGGCCGAAACAGCAATTAAATAATAAGTATTGGTGGGACTTGAATTCCCATTTTGGGTCTGTCATTTTTTTTTTTAAGTCTTAAAAAGGAATGATACATTTTCATTAGGGATTAACCTTTAAGACATGTTGCTAAGTGAAATAAACCAGATACAAAAGGACAGATGCTGTATGATTCTAGTTTATTTGATGCACCCAGTATAAATTCATAAAGGTAAAATGTGATTTTTATCTTATTTTCAGAAAGTGGTTACGGAAGAAAGGAGATTGGGGAGTTATTGTTTAATGGCTACAAGTTTCTGTATGGGATAAGAAAGTTCTGGAGATGGGTAGTGATCCTCCCATTAAGGCTAATAGAAATAGAAAGGACTGTGCAAAATGGGAGGCCTTTGTAGATTTGAGAGGGGGAGAGAAGGAAGAGAGTGGATTGTTTCTACTAGGGTCACCTTCCCTTGGAGGATGAGGGATCTATCTGGCAGATCACCTAGCTAATGTTGGTTAATGCTGAGGTTGAGTAATGCCAGAAATTTCAGATGATTGATTGAAGATTGCATGCATGAGAAGGCAGAAGTCTCTGAGTTAGTCCTGAATGTAGGGTAGCCACATTCAGAAAATCAAAGAAAAGTCCTGGGACTCTAGGCAAATTTGAACTTCAGATAGACAACATGTAATTTTTTAGTCTAAGTATTTTATCTGGTAATCCTACTTCAAAGGCTGGTTCTCTGAGGAAAATTGCTCTGCTTTGTATTCATACTTTCCACTCCTTTTATCAGCTCACCTCTGCCACTTCACCTGGAGTCAGCCCTTATCTCTCCTGACAGCATTCCAACAGCCTCCAGTCTGTCTTGCCTCCTCTATTCTCTCTGTGCTCCAGGTCAACTAGGATACTCTAAATACTAGTCTGATTACATAATAACCCTGCCTAGAGAAAATAGGGGCTGCAGAATCAATCTTTTCTTGTTTCTTTAGTTACTTGCTTGGGCAAAGATGTTACAGAAACCCTGAACTTTGATAAGGGGTTGAAGACCAGTGCTTGTTCAATTCTTCTTTCTTCTTAAAATAAATTTTGTTGCTTTTTTCTTTTAAAGACTTATTTACTTATTCTTACAGGAATTGGGGTTCAGGCCAAAGATGTGGGGGTTGAAAGGATTTACCCGAGACAAAGTGGGGAACAAAATAGGCAGATTGCCTGAAATACACTGCTGAGGGGAGCAGTGGGAAGACAGAGGAGAGGTCTGCCACACCACGTGAGTCACCTCTCTGACCAGGGATCGAACTAGCTTCACAGTGTTGTGCTTTAAGCTGTTGCGTAACCAGGGAGGGACCCCCCCCCCTTTTTTTTTTTTAAGACTTTTAGGCATACAAGAACTGAGATATAGGTACGGGGCAGGGGAGATGGTGAGAGAATTCACCAGAGACTGAGTGGGGAGCAGAACAAGCAGAGTGATGAAGTACACTGCTGAGGGGAGCAGCGGGTGGGTCAGGAGGGGTCTGCTATGCCATGTGATCAGCAACCTGGCTGGGGGATTGAACTCATGCTGCAGTATCTGGTGATTACTTACAGTACTGTCCTGAGCCACCAGGGAGGCCCCAATTATTCTTTCTTTAAACATCAATTCCAGGCATCATGGCACAGGAATTCGGTACAAAAACCCTCCTCCCTGTTTGCACTCATATCACACAGCAGTGGGTGCTCTAGTCCTTGGCTTTTCCATAGGGCTGAGGGAGAAGTAGGTCATTAGTACCCCCATCCCCTCTTCGGTTGAGTCTTCTGACTTCCTGCACCTGGTCCAGGTCAGTTCACAAGGAAGCTCTGCAGAAACATAGTGTCTCTGCCTAGAAGCCAGCTGTCACCAACGCCCAACATGAAGCCTGCGTGGGTGGGGTCAGGTTTTATCAGAGGGTGCTTCTTGTGTGTATATGTCAGTGTGAAGGCACAGAATATTGTCTGGTGATGGTTCTAACTGGGGAGCGGTAACTGAGAATCAGATTCCTCTGGGCCTCTGTCCAGGCAGGCAGGGGCTGCCTGCTAACCCAATGGAGTTGCTAAAGGGAGCAGCAGTGCTGATGGGAGCAGGGAAGGGTAGTGGGGAGACTTGAGATTGCAGCACCCTGATAGCTGTTGTGCTCTTGGTAGGTTCTCTGGCCAGACCTGGGGCAGGTCAGTTTCCAGGGCTCCTGCTCATGACAAGGGGTCAGAGATTCAGAGTGGAGTCCTGGCAGCTTGAGGCATTCTGGGAGGTCTAGGAGGCCTGTCCTATTTCTTTCCCCCATCTCTTCTCTATTTGCTCACCCAATTTCCCTCTGAAATGAAATTCCTTGGAAGAATGTGCTCAAAGGGGAAGGCTTTAAGACATTTTTGGGAACTCATTTCACCAAGACTCTTTCAGATAGCATTTTATCATGTCTTCCATCCTATGCAAGAATGTGTTTGGTATTTTTTTTTTTAGATTTATTTAGATGTCTATTGCAACATGTGGGTTACCTCCCTGGCTGGGGATCTAACTTGCTGCAGATAAACCCTCAAGTACTGCGACTAAAACCATGGTGTCACCAGGGAAGCCCTGAATGTGCTTAAACCTTAAACTCATAGTCATCTTACAATGAAGGGTAAAGAAATCACATCAAGCGTAAGTGTAAAATCAGGTGAATATTTGAGAGGACTCATGGGGTCTCAGTTGCCCCAGGCCTTCTGGCCTGGCTGCCCCCACAAAAAGATATCCATGACTGAGAGATACTGAGGGCAGCTGCCACTCTGTGAGTCCTAAAGCCACCTGGACCTCAGTGTCCAGCACCAGGGGTCATGCTGCCTTGCTTCACAATATTCCTGTCTTGCCCACCTTGCTCTGGGCCACGTGGTCAGTGGGTAGGTCCGCAACATGCCTGGTCAGGTTACTAGTTTCAAAAGTGGAGATAGAATGCCAGGAACTTGGAGATGTGGAGATTAAAGAGGATGGAGGGTGCTGTCTGGGGAAGGCCTGGGGTGGGAAACCAGACATGTCCCTTTATGGCAGCTGTGTCTGTGGTTATGGGGAAAGAGACTAGGCAAGCCCTAAGAGCCACCCCCCAACCTTGGGAAATGCAGACTTGAGCACTGGTGCCCTCCCCCATTGCCTGGCGAAATCAGTGGCAGAGGGAGTGAGGGGAATGGGGCTGCAGTGGGCTGGGACAGCCTACAGGTACAGGAAAGGGAATGTGTCAGGCCAGGTCGGGCCCTGTCCTCAGCCCGGTCTCCCAGGTGCTCCTCTCCTAGGCCTGCCTGCTTATAGCACTGGTATGGATGCTGCTCAGCTGCTGGGAGGGCACGGGTGGGGCATGAGCTGCAACTACTGCAAGGTCCCCAGAGCCTGAAGGAGTGGGGAGAAGCGGCTGCACTTGGGCTAATGGGGCAGGAGCCCCGTCTTCAGTCGGCCCTTCTTGCTCGGAGGTGTGACTCTAGGGTATGAAGTCATATGGAGTGGGTAGCTGCTGGGTTGGACAGGAAGTTAACAGATCAAGTATCATGGAACAACACAGAGCACCAGGGAGACAGAGCAAGAGGCCAGGGAGCAGCACATGACTGTGCTTTCACTTCTGTGGTTGCTCAAGATCTGGAGCCATCCCAGATGCTTCTGACAGACATCCCGGATATAGGATAAGTAGAATGCTGAGGATGAGGCTGTCTCCTTAGCCACAGTCACTGCCAGGTTCAGGCTTTTTTTAAAAAAAGATTTTTTATGTATTTATGCAGGAGCTGGTGTGTAGGCCAGAGGTGGGGGGAAGGGGAAAAATGATTTACCAGAGACAGTGGGGAGGCCATCAGGTGGATCTACAGAGATACACTGCTCAGGGGAGCAGCAGGACAGTTTGTTGCGCATGTGGGTCAGCTCCCTGGGCAGGATGGAACTTGAGCTGCAGGGGCTGCGGATAACTTCATAGTGCTGAGGCTTACCCTTTGTGCCACCAGGGAGGACCCTCGGGGTTTTTTTTTTAAACTAACCCATAGCCCTCATGGTTTCCTGATGATCTTTCCCACCTCAGGGTCTCTCCTGATAGTCTATCTTCACCTCTCAGCAGTATTCTAAGTAAGTCACCCCACAGCCCTCTGTAAACCCTCAATGACTTCCCACTGCCCAAAGTGTAGCTCCAGCTTCTTAGCAGACTTCAGGCTACCTACTAGTATCAGCTGTCTGCCAGACTACATTGGAGGTCCCTGAACACTCACTTGCCCTGGCACACACAGTCTCTACGTTTGCATTTAACGCTCGCTCTCTTCAGAATATCCCCCTCCCCTGTAATTCCTTAATTTCAAGATCCAGTTTGTTGATCTCTGTGCTTTCAGCACCCTTCTAACAAGCAGTATAACCTTGCTCATGCATGCACAGCAAGTCCTTGGCACATGGTGGCTGATGTGTGGAAGGCTGATCAGAAGCCAGCCTATCTTTCTTTGTCCTACCTGTGACACTCACCAAGCACTGCGGGCACAAGGCCCCAGGGGACTCTGGAAACTGGTGAACAGCAGCTGGGCCGACAGGGCCTATGATGGAGATGGGCTTGCATCTACTGCTGGGAATGAGTTCTTTCAAGAGATGGGAGAGGGATATAGACAGAAAGATGGGCTTAGGCTTTAGTGCCCAACCCCACTTCTGCCAGGTTGCGAAGTTCTCCTGCCTTGGCATTTGGCATTTTCAAAGTAGTGAAGATTCACCCAGATGCTAGAAAGAGCAGTCACACTGGCCCATAAAGGCCATGCGACAGCTGCCTGTGGGCACTCAAGAGCACTGCAGCACAGGTGGGGACGGATGGGAAGCAACCGGAGCAGAGGAAGATGGAGCTAGATTTGGCAGAGGGAGCATCTTAAGACATCCCAAACACCCTGGGAAGCCATTTCTCAAAGGAACCGGATACTAGGGTCCCAGCTCCTCTTTCTGTCCTAAAATGGATCCTGCAAAGGAATCCCATTGGGGAATGTTAATGTCAGACACACTCCCATTCTGGGCCTTTCCCTCCTTAGGTGCCTTATCAAAAGCTTGTGGTGATCTGAGAACCAGACAGACATGGATTGTAAGGACTTGGATGTTTTCCACAGGACTTCTGCTAGAGGGTCCCACTGTGGCCCCTGCCCCTTTCTGTAGCCCTTTCCTGATCAATGTTCCAAAACCCGCGCCCCTATCATTTACATAGGGGATTCTCAGCTGTGAGGTAGTGGTAGAGCAGGGTGGCTCAAAATGGAGTAAAAACTACCTAAGGGCCCTCGCCACCAGGGAGCAATGGGTTAGGAAGTAGCACTAGCCCGGTGACCTACATGGGTGAGGAAGCTCTCCCCTTGCCCAAGGCAGTGTACTTCCCTTGTTCTGTTCCCCACTGTCTCTGGTGAATCCTCACTGCCTCTGCACCTCTGGCTTGTTCTGTATGCATACGTAAATCTTTAAAAACCACCTCAACATTGGGTGCAACATTTGGGGGCACTTAGAACAAGCCACCTTGCGGAATGAGCAAAGCATTTGAGGTGGTGAAGAGGATAATGAATTCATTCACTCCAGTTTGCTTTCCCAGAGTTGTCCTGGAGCACGTGATGCACAATAGGTAGGTCTGCCTGGAGAAGCTGCCCCCCCCACCCCCCCCCACAACCAGCATCTCATTTACAGAACCCTTGGAGGCAGACCTGAGTCTGCGGTGTGCCTGAGGTAGCATCCTTAAAACTTGTGGCCTTGCCCTGTCAATAAAAAACAAAACAGAAAAACCCCCACCTCTTCTTACTCCAACTAAAAGGTCATTAACCACCACTGGGCATTAATAAAAACCTCCAACCTCACATTTCATTCTTGATGAGGAAGTACAGGGGCAGAAACTTAGTAATCATGTCAGCAGGTTCTGTTTGGTGTTTCAAATATTCCCTTCATGTAGTCAGGATTCAAAATCTCAAATTTCCTTCCCCAACACCAATCAACCTCCCCATAGGTTAGGGTGCTAACTAGCTCCATGGCAACTGGTCTGGTTGGAAATGAGGCTTATGCTTACGGAGAACACAGGAATACACTGCAGTCAGGTGTCTAAGACTATCATGCTTGGACTTAACGTGTGAAACAAGTCCATTGTATTGTGTGGCTACACTTTTGCAAAGCTTTCTCAAAGGCAGAATCTTTACTTTCTGCCCCAAAGCAACAGCTCTCTCCAACCCCCACTTTTAAATCACCATGAATAAAAATACTACCAACTTTACAAAGGTTATGTTGAGATAAAGTTGCCATAGCATTTCAAAGAGCCCAACAAATAAAGAGAAAGTCCTGGCTGGATTTGAGAGAACGATTTGTTGTAATGAACCAGAAATACAAGATTTCACTGAAACTGAACAGTTGACAGGATATGGTTGAACTTAACCTTCAAGGGAAAAATGAGCATCAAACAAAGCCAATGACTGCAGAAGCCCAAGAAAGGTTTGGGATAAACACAGGATAACAGAATTTTAATTTGGTTATCTTCTGAGCCACCCCGTTTGTCTGCCATCATTCATTCTCCCATGCCTTCCTCTTCTGAAGGGTCTACCTAATCAAGTGGCCTTGTGCTTTCTGACTGTAGGTGTAAGCTAACCCAACACTAGCACCCCTTGGACATAATGCAAAGCCAACAAAGCATATAAATCTTGTTTCAGCGTGGAAAGTACATCACCTAACCCAGCCACTGTTGGGTGGCTATCTGTACGCGGTAGTCATTTAATCAAGTCTGTTCAGATCTGCTACCATGTGTAATCTGTAATGGAGCCCAGTAGCTATGTCAAGGTCCCCAATTCACAAAAATGTCAATGTGGCAGAACACATTTTTGAACTCCAGATGTTCCAAACACTTCTAAGACGTTAAAGATGATACAGAACAGAACTGTTATCTCAGCAGCCTAGCCATCAGGGAGGGACACTGATGGGCTCTTTCTGGGACACTTTTGGGGGGCGCAGAGATGAACAGAGGAAATGTTAAAAGTCAGAACATGTGATAGGTGAGAGGGAAGAGGCTGAAAGTGGGGGTGCTAGCCACAAGGTCAACATATTCGTGTTCAAAGAGAAATTTGGGTGAAGAAAAACAAAATCTCAAATAACAAAACCAAGTCAGAAGAAAAATGGGTTTCATACAACACAGTATCAAAAAAGTAAAACAAACACACTAAATGCGCAAACTGGTGGCAAGTAAGTCCATAGCCTATTGTGACAGGTCCTTCGAGCATCACTCAAGGTTTTCCTCATCTGTTATCAAGGCTATTTACATATGTGGTGACTTTGAACATGAGTCTCTCACAGGAGGCTGCTCAGGCTTCAATCATTGGTTTCGGGATCTGTCTGTGCCATGTAGGCATCCAATTCAGCATCCAGATGTCCTTTCGTTTTTGACATGTACGCATCCAATTGGTTGTCCAGCTGCTCCTTGGTCAGTACAGGGCGAGTAAGGGCACCTCTTCCTCGTCCACGACCTCGGCCTCGGCCTCCAAAGCCCCCTCTTCCCCGACCTATCATACCCCGACCTGGCCCAAGAAAGAAAGAAAAACAGACAGTTACAAGTAAGTTTAATGGGTGCTAAGGTAAATGCCCCATGCCCTTTAAAGCAGTGAGGCCTAGCTGAGAAAGGCTGAAGGGCAGGGCAAAGAGGAGAAATCTGGAAAAACAAACACACTGGGTAGAAAGCAACACATGGAAAGCACACACAATGAATCCCTTAACAACATGCTCATCTCTAAATGCTATTAAAGAACATTTTATTTTATCAACAAAGGGAAATTAACTGACAAAAAAATCTCAGCCTCTCCTACAATTATCTAAAGTTTAAGAACCACTATAAGTTTATAACTAAAGTACAATTATAGGTAGCCCCAATCAATAAGGGCAGAAGTATTAAGGGCACAGGAAAATGGGGGTGCCAAGCGAGGCGATTTTCAAACTAAGCTTTATTGGAGCTCCTTACAGAAAATTAGCTCATCTCTCTTCAAATTTATGAAGCCCAATGAACTGACCCAATGTCAAGAAGACAGGAATTATTTTGACATAGGAACAAAATATGGGAGATGGGAAAAAAAAAAACAAAAAAAAAAACCACAACGTTTAAAGTCCCTAGCCACTTCTATCTCTGATTCTAGTCACCTTATGACAACTATGGTTATCTATGAGGTGGTTTTGATTCACTTAACAAAATATAACCAGTTTTCTGAAAAGCTATTTTAGACTACTGCCCTATCCCTTTTTCTTTCAGAAACCAAGTCAAGATAATTTGGAAACATGCTATTTCATCCTGAAAACCCAAACTAGCTTGCACTTCACTCAAGCCAAGTTAATGTAAAATGGGAGAGAAGAAAACAAACTTAGTTACCAAATTTTCCTGTCCTGTTACTATCCTATCCCTTGGTAACCTTACAGTCATAAATTATGAAAAACCCACCATATAATTTAAAAGGACAAAAGCAAATATTCACAGGAGTTCTAAGACTATAACCCTCTACTCAACAGATGTTGCTGGGTTGTTTTCCAGTAAATTCTAAGTCAGAAAACTCCCATGACATTTGGCAACACCATTAATCTTTTTTCAATATGGGTCATTAGATCATAAGACAAGTATTACTAAATTTAAAGGTGAGGTTAAAAACAAGAGTCAGTTAATCTTACTCTCTCGACTGATCAAAAAACTTCATGTTTCCTCAAAAACACAAACTCCCTGACCACTGTGTCATTTTAACAATACAATTTAAATGTGAAAGAGTCTGCATAAAACTGCAAAAAGAGTCTGCAGAAGACTGCATAAAACCTGGCTCTGTATTACATATCTGACAGGTTCTTGGAAAACCCAAGTACAGACTTTTGTATTATTAACATGTGAAATTAGAAAATAAGCCATTTCAAGAAACAAACAAGACAAACAAGTAAGCCTGCCTGACTTGAAGCTGTGCAGAAAGGTGGCTCTGAGTTTTGAAGGGAGAGAAATAAGGGGGAGCGCTATTCTCTGAAGTTGGTAGCTGACTAACCTCTACCACCGATTCCGCCACGACCCATAGCTCCACGCCCTAGGCCCCCTCTCCCAGGACCTCCACGACCTCGAACACCACCTCTTCTTAAGCCCATTCGGGGAGCTACGGCTCGTCCACCTCGGAGCAGGTTTTGACCTTGGAGAGGAGGCATACAATGTATATATGCAGGTAAATCCAAGAGAGACAAAATAGTTTCTAACCAAAGGAAGGCGGTGAGAGTTAAATGAGTTAGTTCAGTTAATTTTTAAGTTGGGTGGGGCAAGCTGCACACCAGAGTGTGAACAGATTAAGTTGCTCCTTATTCAATCAATTCAACAAGTCTGAGCACAAACCCATTTTTTGAAGCTGGGACTTATATTAGTTAAGTACATAAATTTAAGAAATACCTACTAAATAACCAATAGATACCTAATATTATGGTAGATAAATGGTAGGAAAAATTAACAATGATTCCTACTCTCAATACATTCTCTTTGGGGACAAGAACTATACAGCCAACAGGTAAACAGTGCCCAAAATGTAACATGGAAGCTAGGTGCTATGGGTCAACTTGCCTCTCGTTTTTCCAGATGTTAACAGAATGTTGCACTAGCACCAGAGCAGACCCATGAATTTCTTAGATTTTATTACTAGAACTTGAATGTGCTTTGATTCAAGCAGCAGCAGGGTGTTTTAAAATGGAATGGAGATGACATGAATTACCTGTTGTTATGCAGGTCATAGCCTCTCACCATTGCACATTATCAGAAAAGGAATGGTATCGATAAAAGACATGCAGCGCTATTAAAAATATGTGATTTCAAAAGTTATTAATTATATTAATACAAATTCAGGCTAAAAGATGTTAAACAAATGTGTCCATAAGCAGCCCAAGAGAAAAGGGAAGGGATTAGGGCTTAACAACTATGAGGTACACAGCACTGACCTCGGAGCGACATCCCGCCCCTAAGTAGGGTTCTTGTGGCACGTCCCCCACGTAGTCCTCCTCTGGGCAAGCCTCTCTGGATTATGGGCAGTCCTCGTCCTCCGATTGCTCCCCTGGCCAGGGTCCCTATGGGTCGGCCTAACCGTGCCTGTATGTTACTTTTACCCAGGCGCTGCTTTAAGCTCTTCTGGAAGAAAAGGTGTTGGGGAATTGAGATCAAAAATGCAATCTGGTGGAAATTTGGCAACTCAAAGTGCAGAGAAAAAGCAGCAAGTGAGATGTCTGTGCGGAGGGAGATAAATCTGCTATAGGGTCCATAAAGGATCCCAAACCAGAAGCCAGCCTTTGCCTCAGAACATTGTATAAAAGATGCAGAATTCTGACCGGGGCTTCTAAGAAGCTCAAGTATCCTCCTATGCAATTGGCACTGCTACAAATGACCTCATTATCTGTCTACACAAGTGATAAGTCATTACCTGTATAGTTCAAGTTCTGATTCTGTTGTTTTTGAACAACAGGCTGACAATGCTGTGACTTAATTCATACCTGCCTAAGGACTACTAGTGTCTTCAAAAGCTTACTCAAACATCACAGGAAGTTCACCACTCTCAGCAAAATTTAAATTACAAGTTCATTTGTATTCTTGTGACTTTAAGAATAAGATTTGATTTCTCAGTCAAAGAAGCCAGTGTTTTCCATTTTTCCTCTAAGTATCTAGCTCCAGAGGGTCCATTTTTTTACCTTTAGAGGTAAATAAACACAAAAGTCAAAACTTCATTTCTTCACATTTCTTATATACCCATAGTCCAGTCTATCCTTGCAAGCAAACCAATATAGTAACCCTTAACTCAAAGTAAACATAATTCACAAAATGGGCTCCAGAAAGAGCCCACCAAAACTTACATTAAGTGAGTGATAATCACAAAACTAGGACCATGTTTGAGGACAAGATCACACCAGAGCCAAGAGCTTGTTCCTCAAAGAAAAACTATGACAATGACACTGTAAATTCCTTCAGAGGAAAAGGTGGCCATATGTTGGCTTGAACATAGCAAGCACAGCTGTTTTTCATATTAAGTCAACTATTGACATGAGTGAAAATAAATTCTACACACCCTTGCCAACCCAACTTTGGGCAACTCCCCCACTCAACTTTGGGCAACCCACTGATGCCAGTTATTATTAGCTTTCTGGCACATAATCACAAGCTGCTTAACATTATGCACCTGACATGAACAGGTATAACCAACCATAAGAGCTCATTATATCACTTCCCTGAGAGCATAATTATGAGGCCAAGACTTCATTCTAAGTTCCTTGTATTCACAGTCACCCCATGTATATTCTCCGAAGATCTGTGGCTTTGAGGGGAGAATGAACAGTACATGTAAGTTCATGTTCCTTCTCAATCCCTATTTGCAGTCACTATTGCTCACTGACAGGCAGCTTAGGGATGTCCATTATATTATCAGTTTCCAATCTAGAGCTGTGCTGTGCTATATGTTAAAACAGACACTGAACACATGTAGCTATTTATATTAAAAGCAAAATTAAGTTTCTCCACTACACTAGCCACATTCTGAGTACTCAGTAGTCACATATGGCTAGTGTCTACAGTATAGACAGTTTGGAGAGCAGCTTCAAAACACTTCCATCACATGTAAAGTGCTACCAGACAGTGCTTCTCTAGAGACTACTTTTGCCACGGCTTTTTATTCAAAGTTTCTTGTTGAAAGAAAACCTATCCTTAGTTTTTCATATTTACTCTTAGAAAATGGTGCTTTTATTGCTTTCCTAAGCCAGGGATAAATCCAGTCACTCAAAGGTTTAAGGTAGCTGAAGCAGAAGGCTGTGTTTATTTTTGGTCAGTGAGCCCAATGGTTCAGGGTGGGGGTGGGAGGGTGTTATATTTAACTGCTGAATTTATGCACAGCCATGCAGTGCTATCAGTTAAAGTCCTTACAGTCGCATGGGACCGCCCTCCAGACGCCCAGCCACAGCTTGGACATATCCTTCCACAGCCATTGTCCGGACTTGCAAATAAAGTCTATGAATAATAAAGAGCAGGTTTTATTTCAGGTCTGAATAGGATTATCTCTTGCTGGTTATTTGAAAGAAAACCCACTTTACTTGTAACTCAAGCTCTTGCTATACTGATAAAACTTTAGGAGCTGTGGAGATGAAGGTCACCCTACTCTTCTATATTTTAGCAGGGAAATGCTGACCAAAAAGTATGACTGAGGCTATTCAGGCTCTTAGAGGAGACAGAACAAAATTATCCCTAATTTGTACACCACCTAGCAGGGAATTAAGGGTTTTGGGGGGTGAGGGGAATCCTCTAAAACAGAAACCCCAATTTCTTGTGTGGGAAATGTCAATATGTCTATTTTAAGGGCAAAGGATCAGAAAATAAGAGAGTAATACTCATTGATAACACAGAACCAGACCACATGGATGGCAAACTCCCTAAAAGAGAAAGACAACAAAATTACTTATTGGTACCCTTTCTTTCAGAGACGTTTCAGCAGCTTTTGCCCTGAGTCACCTTGTAATCATCCATCACGTCCCGAAAGCCTCAGTGGATTGCCTGACAGAGATCACCAGCTGCTTCTGGAGCATTAAGACCCATTCTCTCACCTGCTTAAGTTTTAATGCTGCCTGGACAGAGGGTCTATTCTCCATCTGCTGGGCCAGTCTTCTGTTTCTGGCACTGGCTAGCTGCTGTTGTTGCTGCATCGAAGCCCGAATATTCACTGGCATCGGCTGTTTGTTCTTCAGCATATTAGTAAAGCTTCAAGGTCGAACAAAATGGATGTTTAAATAAAAGCTTTATTACAAAACATTTATTGGCATTTTCATGGCTTGCTAGACCAGGAGCTCCAGATCCCACGAACTTTATAAAGTGGTACACTTAGGTCAAAGCTGATGTGGGTTAAAGACTCCTTTGCTTCCACAAATTTGCAAGAATCAGAAACTTAGAAATGCAGCTTAGTGCAGCACATTCAATCAAAAGTGATAACAAGGGCTCAGGTGACGCCTTGAAGAGGTGAAAGGCATGAAAAACACGCAATAAGCAGATACGATGACAGCAAAGGACAGAAGATGTAGTTTCAAAGACAGACGAAGAAAGCTGAAACCGTGGGGAAACCTGTGAGTGCAGTGTGAGGGCAGATATAAGGAAGACAAAGAGCACCTTCAAAGACCATGGAAAGACCATATTCACATAAATTACAGGAGTATATTACATTTTCTTATTATTTTACCCAGAAACATGCGGCCATGAATAATTAGTACATCATACCCTAGGAGACATGGATGGAGAAGCACACTGCTTCAAAATGGTAGTAATAAACAACATAAATCTTAGTGGTCTAACACCAATAAACTTGGTCCTAGGCACTCAATGAATAACAAAGGTTTCAGACACAGAAACTACCTTTAAATGGCTTAACTTTTCTTAGTGTCAACGTCTCATGATTACTTTTCTGACACCAAGTGATTACATCTGAAAAAAATCAATTACCATTTAAGAGCTTGGGAAATGACACTTCTATAATTCCCATCAAGCTAAGTATAACAGATGGAAGAGAAGAACATTTAACGGTAAAAGAATCCAAAACAGAAACAAATTAGAAGGCAGAATGGAAAGAAAGTGAAATGGAGCAAAGCAAGTGCCTCTTACAAGACCCAGGAAGGACATTCAAGGGCCTTTGGACATAATCATAGCTTGCTACCTGCCTCTTACAGGCCAGACACAACACTGCTGGCCTTGGACGAGGCAGCAAGCCCACTGCAGCCAGGGTAACATGCTACTGAGCTGCACCACCCCTGTATCAATGTAAAAAAATGTGAGGAAAAAGGGAGGGTGTGAGGAGTCTTTTAAAATACATCCCACCAGATAAACATTTCAGACAGCTTAACATAAAAATCTACTGTTAAGGGGTTTTGAAACAACCGCCCAATTTGTTTTGTGTACCACATAAGATGAAACTACGAACAGAGGTCTGTAGCCTTCTGTTGGTACTTAGCTTAAAACTGGTTTTTGTGCATTGGACCCCAGGGCCAATTTAAGTAATGTTTTCTTATGAATGAGCTGAAGTTGCTGTTGGCTGCCTCACCGCTCATTTAGCGACATCTTGGTGGTGCTTTTTAGCACAACTTTCGGCGCTGACTGTGCAGCCATCTTCAAATCCCGAGAATCTACAAAGGACAACAGGCAGAACGAACAAATCAGAATAACTACGGCCTCAGCCAACAACACATTAAAAGGCCTGCTGCACTGGCCAGCTGACGAGCACGTTCGTTATCTTCAGTTCTTCAATGTAGAGTTACCTCAAACTTACAAACTTCAAGGCCACAGATCAGAAAATACCTGCCAAATCCTCCAAAATGGCAGCCCTAGATCTAGTTAAGGAAGTCTAAGGGCCTGACTTCTTACCTAAAGGAGTCCTAAATCTGCATGGCTTACCCAAAGTGTTTTCCCAACACTCCAAAAGCATGGCCCGGACCGATTAAGCCACAATCTCGGGTGTAAGGTCTAGTGGTCGGCAATTGGAACAAAACAAAAAAAGGGTTCCCCATGTGCTGCCCCAATCCAGAGCCCTTTGACCTGGAGTTGACTCAGGCGATGGATCAAAACTGGCTGTGGACTGCGAGAATCAAGGAGCCTGAGAATCAAGGAGAGACACCAGCAAGGGGCTGGGCACTTGGGGGAAGGAAGCGGGAAATGTTTCCCAAATAAGTCTTCACCTGGGAATTAGCTCTCGGAGAGCACGCTACACAATTTAACCCTCAAGTCGCCAAACTTTCCAGCGTTCCCCAAAGTTCTGTGGTTCTCGCCCAATCTCCCGCCACCTCACAGCCCAGTCAGAAGCGCAGCTCGGCTCATCCCGCCCAACAGCTTCCCGTTCCATTCCAGTCAATCTTTTCCGTCGATCCCTCCCCCAACCCGAGGCCCTACGGGGCTCCGCCCCCTCCCCGGGGCCTCCACGCTCCTGCACCCATCTGCCACCACGGCCCAGGCTTTCCCTTTCGCCGCCACCGATCCTTTCCGCACCCCCACTTTCTTCCCCCTCGTCACCACAGAAACGTACCGAAGGAAACGGACACCAGTGCTCCTCCCGGGGCTGCCACCACGGCTGCGGCAGGCGGGCCGGGGGCCGGCCGAGCCTGAATCGACGGTGGAGGGCCTCGGGGTAACTTGGTGGGCGGTTGGTTAGAAGTGTAAGCGGTAGGCCGCTAGGTTAGTCCGTTGCTGCTAGGCTAGTTCTCTGGACGGCCGGTCCGCTGCTCGCCCGGCCTGCCCTTTCCTGCCTGTCGTCTGTGCCTCCACAGCCGCTGCCGCCAACTCCCACTCGGTGTCCAAAACAAAATGGCCGCCACGCCCAGTGCGGAGTGGGATCGGCTAAAATGGCGTCGACGCGGTTGCGTCAGACGTCGGGCGTCAATGCGTCCGCTCGGGGATGGGGCAGAGCCGAAGAAGCAGGCGGGGCTTCAGCCTGGGTCCTGTCTGGATTGCGCGCCACTCGCGAAGGGGCGTGGCCAATGGCCGCGCGCTTGGAACTCGTGGGAGCCGCACGTTCTGGGCGCGTTTGTTTGTCGTCTGCTGCGCAGACGGCTTGTACCAATGAGAACGATGTTCGTATTTCCTCGCGCCGTCACCTCCCTGTCCCGGTCTCTTGTGGGCACCGGGCCTCTAGTCATTTGCACTGGCTCTCCCCTTGTGGAGTGCTGTAGCACCCCGCCGACACTGGGGACCAGTGCCGGGAGCACCACCTTCACTGGCTCCTGCGCCAGTCACCCCTGCCCGTTCTTTTTCCTCTTCGCTTGCCTTCTTCCCCAACTTTGCCCCGAATATTGTTAAATTCTCATATGGAGGACCTTTACGTCCTGTTCCCCATCTGGTCTTTATGTGGATTTTGACAGAAGTACAGGAAAGATCTCGGTTCACAATGAAGCGCCCCCACTGAGAAACTGATGCAGTAAAACAGAACAGGTCTCTCTGCCTGCCCCATCCGATGGGCATTTCTGTCTTGCATTCAACAGGTTTGGCCTCTTGCATTCCAAGGAAAAGGGAGTTAGTGCTTCCTTCCGCAGCACATATGCCAAGGAAAAGGAAATTAAACAGCAGTTGTTGACGAAGCAAGATTTCTCCCACTCCATATCTTTGAGGCGATCTCCTGCGCCTGCATTGTTGCATCAGGACTTAGCGACCCCTTTTCCCCTACTCTCCTTTGCAAGCCCTTGCCCATCTCCCCTTTTTATCCCTCTTTGTATAAATAACCTTGCACTCTGCCAAAGAGCAGGGCAGTGGTCTTTCTGACAGGAGTCTGCTGCCCTCCACAGTTTGTCAACAAATTAAACTCCTTAACTTTTCAAACTGTTTCTTCTTATTGACTGATGGAAACTGAGGCCGGTGTTGGTACTCAGAACAAGTGATTAAATACACCTTTAGCCCGTTCTCCCCACTCTCACCCCATACTCATCAGGGTCCTTTTATCCCTGCCCCTCCCCCTTAGCATTTTTGTATGTGGGGTTGTATTTAGTGGTCTGATAGCCATTCCAGATTTTTACCTATGTGAGGGAAAGAGTGTTATTTGATATGTTCATTGCTGTATCCCCAGTCTAGCACATGGTAGTCCCTCAGTCAATATTCCTTGAAGGTTTAAGGGAAATTCCTTTGGCTTTATAGCTGAGAACTGGTATGTCCTCTACGTCAAGCTAGCCCATCTAACCCCTTCCAGGATCTGAACCTTGAGCTTTCCTCAAGTAGGAAGATATTATGACCTCATCGCTTCGCACCAAATGAGATTCCCCTCCCCACTAATAAGGCAAGTTGGGAGTGAACATCCTTCAGCACCCACTTCCAGACCCAAAGGAAACAGGCAGCTATTGGCGAGAGAAGAGCCTTTAATAAAAGAGGAGTAGCAGGCCTCCTCCATATTTTTGCGCCCTTGGTAGAGGATATGCAAGGCTGGGAGTGTGGGAAGTAACAGCAGCGTGAGGGGGAAGCAGGCAAAGGGGTAGGCATGACAGGTGCAGGAGAAGGATGCTGCCCATTGGAATTGTCTGCTCAGCTCTCCTCCCAGAAGAAGCTGTTACAGGCCACCGTGAGGGCAGCTATCAGCACCACATACTCCTGGAAGTCCACTTCCCCGTCTTCATTCTCATCTAGCTCCTTCATCAGCTTGTCCACAGTTTCCGAATCCTTTTGACTCTGTAGAGGGAGAGGATAGAGAGATTGGTGTGCAGAAAGACATGTAGCACCGAGTCAGGCAAAAGGGATGGTTGACTGGGAGAATGAGACAAAGGTGTGCAAGAGAGAGAAAAACATCTAAATACTGGACTCATCCTGCTGCCCTCCTCAAAATTAACAAATACTTGAGGCTTCCTGTTACCTACAGAGTAAATGCTTTAACGAGCAGAGTACTTACAACAAATCATCCTCCATGCACCAGTACTTAACAATGTGACAAGCACTGCTCTAGAGTATTTTATAATTATTTTAAATTTAATTCTAACAAACAACATGAAGTAGGTTTCATTATTGTCATTCTAAAGAAGAAACAAAATAACAATTAGTGGTTAAGTAACAAAAGTCACACTGCTAAAAAGTGGTAGGGGCAGGATTAGAACCCAGATCCAATAAAACTCAAAGCTGGTATACATTTGACTGGCTATTTCCTTTAGCCTACTTTTTTTGCATTTTTGGCTCCAATAAAAACTACTGAGCATGTTTCATTGTTATCTTTCTTCCATGCTTTTGTTCATGTAGTGATCTTAAGAGATCCTATAATCTTGCAGTCTAAATCCATGGCTCTTTGGAGAAGCCAAAGACCTCTTCAGTCAGGTTAATAGTTTCATTTTTTTTTCTTGTCATTTTTGTCAGGTTCTGAGTACTTTCTGATTTCTTGCTTTACTTTCAGTGTCAGCCCTTCTAGACTGTGAGCCTTCTGCACAGGACCTATAATTTGGCAGACGATCAGGACATTTTGACTTGAACCAGGAGGAGGAAGCTTAGAAACACTCAAAGGAGGGAGATAGTTAGCCTGAGTTGGGGTGGAGTGGGGAGATGGCAGGGAGGTGCCTACTCTGTTCCCTTGCCCCTCACCCGCAGCACCCGATACTCCCACTCTACTCACATCCAGGAAGCCAGCAAATTCGGCTTGCAGCAGCTCTTTGAACTCCTTCTTGCTCAGCTTGTATTTGTCTCCCTCCTTGCCCGAGTAGGTATGGAACACATTAATGAGGGTCTCCATCGCTGTCTCCAGGTCAGAGCTCATCGTGCAGCTCACCTACCCCCCCCACCACAGGAGTGAGCTGGGAACCATAATCAGGGTATCTGGGGTTGGGGTAAGGGGAACTGTCAGACCTGGCCCTGGTTCCATAGCCCAGCTAGTTATGAGATCAGAGCTTTACTGTCGTTTTTCTTTCCCTAAGATTTTGGTTTCTGGGGAGCCCAGATAGATGTAAATCTAGAGCTGCTCTGGTACTTCTCCATCCATGACCCAGCCAGAGGGAGTCAGGGTTGGACACATGGAGATGAGGTAGCTGCAGCTGGGTTGGCTCTGGAGGCTTGCACAGGCCTCAACAGTGACTCTTCGCTGCTTGGGTAGACACTAAGGAGTATGAGGCGCATAGGTGGGGTGGTTATAAGACCTGAGCAGATGTCTTCTCTCCATTTTTATCCTGGACCTGGCCTGTCTAGCACAGCCAACCTTAGCTCTTGAGTTCGTGGGCTGCTTTCCCCTCTATGTCTTGACCCTGCTCCAGCAAGGGGCAATCTGTGTCTTTTGGCAACCCGAGGACAGGGTGGGGAGGGGGTCTTTCATTGCTTCTTAACTTCTGTCAACAGGCCGGGGGTCTCTTTTAGTTCTTTAACTATTCTGCATGAACATTTCACTTTGGTTTCTCTGGTAGGTCTCTAATTTGGTTCCTCTTACTTCTCTGCAGAATCAGACCTTCCATCAGGGGATGGTGGGATGGGAGAGGAACATTTCCATCTTTTCCCTGGAGCCAGGACTCCTAGGGAGGGCCAGGGACTCTGTGAGTACTTGTCCCTGCTGCTGTGCATTCCTGTCCCCAGGCCCTACCTGACTGATATGTGGATAGTCAGGGTATGTGTTCAGGAAGATAAAGGTATGAACATATGGGGTCATCTGAATTCAGAGGACTGGGAGAGAGACAGGGAAAATAGAGGGGTGTGTTGAGGAGAGAGGTGTGCCAAGCCAGGAGACTCTTTCCTTCAGCCCTGGGATAGTCAACTTCATAGCATCAGGGGGCAGCTCAGGTGTCTCAGATCAGGTGTCCTCATCTTTCCCCAGGTCTGAGAGCTGGACAATGGGCCCTGATCGAATGACATCGCACTCTTCAATGGGCCCTTGTGAGTGTCACCTGAACTCCGGACATAAGAAGTGGTTGTCACAGAGACATGGAGGAGCTTGGAACCCAAGCTGGGGCTGATGGAGGGGATAAGAAAGTATGTGAGGGAGGGGTGCTGGTGGGTGGGTTATGGGCCTCATCTATCAGGGCCACCTGGAGTGGTCTAAATTTTATGTAGAGGGCCAGTTCTGAGAGAACCTTGGCAGGGAGGAAGCAGACAGGAAAACAAAAAGAATTGGGGGAAAGAGGGATTGGGAAGCATGTACCAAGAATGGAGAGGAGAAAGTGTAGGTCATGTGAAGGGAGAGCTGGGATTAAGTACAGTACCCCAGAACCCCTTCTGATAGCTCATTGGCCATGCTCTTCTACCCCCAGACTTCTCTGAGACCTGAGCTCTTGGCAAGGCTTTGTGGGGGGTGGCAGAAAGTAGCCTGGAGGGGAGCAGGGAGAAGTAGCTGTTCTACTTGCTTTCTTATTCTTACCCCATGGAAAGCAAGCAAGAGCTGGGGCTCCTGATCAGCACCTGGGGTATTGAGGGAGCCTTGGGGCAGGGGCACTTGATGGTTTCTGGCGGGGGGGCCTGGTCTCCTGGAAGCTTGCTGGTTGGGTTCTCCACTGGTTTCCTCACCCACTGATTCCAGCTCTCTCAGCCCTTCTCTGGCTTCTCCTTATCACCTTCCAAACCCTGTCTCCCTCACATCTTTCCAGACCCTTAATGAATCATAATGCTATCATCTCCAGACTCTTGGAGCCCCTCTGAAGTTTCTCCCAAGCTGACCGGGTCCCCAGAATACTCACTGTTAGTTTCAGCTTGCAGATGGAAGAGGTTCCAAGCAGACAGACAGGCTGCAAATGTGGCTACCAGCTGTGCGGTGGAGACCTGTCTTTAGTGTCCTTCCCCTGCAACCCCACCTCCACACCGGCTCCACCCCTTCACATACAGCCAGTGGGGCAAGGGGCCAGGAGTGGACAGAGGCGCCCTCTGTCTCCTGGGCTAGAACAGGCTGTCCTGTGTCCTCCAGCCTCAGTTTGCTCCCTCCCCCCATACATTCCCCCACTCCCCAGAGCCTGGGAGGTGGGAAAGGTCCTGGGAGAAACGCTGAGAAAGGGGAAGATACCACTGAGGGTTCAGCCCCTGCTTCTTTACTTGGCCTCAGTGAGGGGAACTCTCAGCGAATAATTTAGTCTGGGGTCTTTCCTGAAGGGGTTCGCTAACACCTCACTGAAAGCTTTCAGTACGGGGGTCCCCTCTATGGGCCTATCAGCCTGCATTCCTTCCGTGTGGTTTCAGTCCTGAATCCTCGGAGGGGATGGTGGTCTGCAAGGTCTTTTTCAGAATCTCACAGAAGCCTCTGTGGTGTTCAGTCTCAGGGCTGAAGTGCCAGTTAGTCCCCCATCTTAGACCTGGTGGGCAGCAGACTCCCTGAATTCAGGGAGGGGTAACGCCCTACGCCCCTCCCCCACCGTGTGAGCGAGATCGGTCCAGGCAACTCGGAAAGTTTATGCCCCCCCACCAACTGGGGGCGCCAGTGGGCTGGGTTGGGGAGCAGGGCTCCTGGCCCGATTGCTGGAGGGGAGGGACGAAAGGGAAGGGGCGAAAGATGTGATTGGGCGGGGTTCTCTCTCCAGAATCTACGGGAAACTTGACTCCGCCGGGTAAGGGGGGGACTCTTCCCTACCTCCTGGGGCGCTTATAAACCTCAGCCCCTGGGGCTCCTGCGGGCTGCATCCACCTCCTAACTCCGGTGAGTCGCTACCCCCTAACCCCGGAGGGAGGCTGGCGCCTTTTTCCTCCTGGGGTTCCCAGGTCCCTCCCCCGGAGCCAGCTCTTACCGGGATCCGGGAAGTGACTTTGGGAAACTGAGCAGCAGAAACCCCCTGCAGGGACTTGGGGGCGGGGGAGAGGGGATGGCGAAAGGGCGGAGTGGAAGCCTCCCCCGCTCCCCTCCCCCGCCCCACCGGGCGGCTGGTGCTGGTATCAAAGCCCTTCCTGGGCGCGGGACACCACCACACAGCCCCATTCTCCCCGTGGCGGGAGGAGGGGCGGGGGAGCCCGGTGCCCACTGTCCAGCTGTCCTGAGGAGAAGTGGGGGTGGCTCACAGCGAAGTGGGATCTGTCCAGACGAAGACAACCCTGACCACAGCTGGGCTTTTGCCTGGCCATAGGCTTATTGCTGGAAGAGCGGTCGGAGTGTGGGCCCAGTGCCACAGGGTGGAGACCCAAGTCCTAGCAAAAACAAAACGAGCGAAATAACCTTTGGACTGGGTGAGCCACTAGGACAGGGTCCTGGAGGCTGACACCCCATAAAGGGTCCCCTAGATTGAGAGGACTCCAAAGAAGGTCTCAGACTGAAAACTACCTCCCAGAGAAAGGGGGGTCTCTGGATTGAAGGACCACCAGAGAGGGGTCCCTGAGATGCTTCAAAAGGGGCCCTGTACTTTGAGATCTCCAGAAGAAGAGGTTTTTGGAGCTGAACACAGGCTTGGGGCTTGGGTCCCAAGCTCCAGCCCTTTCTCCTCTCTCCTTTTCCATAATGTAATGCCTCTTCCAGGCAGGCAACAAAGTCCAGTCCTGGCCTCTGCCCAGTCTGATTTTCTCCCTCTTGCCTTCTCCCTCCCTCAGGTCAGCCCTGTGAGGACTTCTGCTCCAGGGTCCTAATGGCTGCTGAGCCACTGACTGAGCTGGAGGCAGCCATCGAGACTGTGGTGACCACCTTCTTCACCTTTGCAGGGCGGGAGGGCCGCAAGGGCAGCCTCAGCATCAATGAGTTTAAGGAACTGGTCGCTCAGCAGCTACCTCACCTGCTCAAGGTAGGTAGGTGGCTCTCTATTGAGACTTTCAAGGCACTGGCTGCAGGACACTGGATGTGATGTGAGATGTGTTAAGTAACAAAAATCTAACCAAGTTAATTTAAATAACTGCCCTCCCATTCCGAGCTGAGTTTATTTTTATTTATTTATGCATCCAAGAACTGGGGTGTAGGCCAGAGGTGTGTGGAGTGAGAGTATTCACCAGAGACAGAGTAGGGAGCAGAATAGGTGAATCTACTAAAATACACTGCTGATGGGGAGCAGCAGGCCAGACAGGAGAGGTCTGCTGTGCCATGTGGGTCAGCTCCCTGGTCAAGAATTTAACTCAGGCCATAACGGCTGGTGATAGGGCTAAGGCATAACCCCCTGTACCACCAGAGAGACCCTCCCCCTTCCCCCTCAGCCTATTTTAAAGATCTAATTGGCTTGGGCCCTCCCTGGTGGCGCAACGGGTTAAAGCACTGCACTGAGAAGCTAAAAAACTACTTCCACATGAGTTCGATTCCCGCCTGCCCTGGAGGTGACCACATGGCGTGGCAGACCTCTCCTGACCCGCCCGCTGCTCCCCTCAGCAGTGTACTTCGTCGATCTGCCTGTTCTGCTCCCCATTTTGTCTCTGGTGAAGCCTCTCGCCGCCCCTGAGCCTCTGGCCTATACCCCAGTTCTGTATGTACAAATAAATAAATCTTTAAAAAAAAAAAAGATCTAATTGGCTTTATTAAACAATTCAAGGTTTGGGCAGCTAGCAGGCAGAAAGGTGTGGCAAGAAGTTATACAAATGAGGGATGATGGTTTTATAGTTAGAAAATGATTTTACAGAAGAAAAGGATTACTTCAGACAAGGCCACCTCAAATTAGGGGAAGGTGGGATGTGTTAAGTAGATTACCTGAGGAGTGCTGACCTGGAAACCCCAGCTAGATGGGTTTAACTTTACACTTTTCAGAGAGGCTAAAATAGCAGTTAGGTTGGGTGTTAAGTCTTGGTGGGGCTTGGCATGAATGATTTCATTTTGGGCCTATTTCTTTTTTTTTTTTTAACAGGTGAGATTCCTGAACATGCTAATGTGACTTTAGGGGTATTGAGAGAAGGCATAGGTGGCCGCATATAAATGGTCCTGGTGTTCTTGCCTGGAGAGACAAACTGGGTGGGAGGGAAGGGAGAGGTGATTGTGTGTGTGTGCATGTTACTAGGTAAGTAAAAACCCCACAGCTTTGTGAGTTATTGGGCTTTGTGTTCTCATCAGATGTTGGGTTCTTGTGTCTATTCTGTGCCTCTCTGGCCTTATTTCCATAATATGGGCGGGGGGCTGGACCCAGCTCTGACTTCCCAGAGATTTCATAGACATCAGAATTAGAAGGAGGGTGAGAAAAAACAGTGTAAACCCCTCACTTCATATATATATATGGGAACTGAGGCCCAACTGTAGGAAGGGGTCAAAAATAAAACACTGACAAATTCATGAGTCCTAGAATCTCAACGTAGAGGGGAACATTCCCCTTTTCAGAATCCTCTCAATAAAGTTTCTGACAAGGCACAACTTCTCTCCTAATAAAATTTAAATTTCATCCACTCTTGGGTTGTAATATCATCTTAGGCTAACTGCTTTTTTTTTTTTTTTTAAAGATTTACTTATTTATTCATATAGAGCTGGGGTACAGGCCAGAGATGCGGAGGGTGAGAGGATTCACTAGAGACAGAGTGGGGAGCAGAACAGACAGACCTACTGAAATACACTGCTGAGGGGAGCAGCGGGTAGGTCAGAGAGGTCTGCGCTGTGTGGGTCAGCTCCCTGGCCAGGGATGGAACTCAAGCAGCAGTGGCTTCTGAGAGCTTCATAATGTGCTTTAACCCATTGTGCCACCAGGGAGGCCAACTGCTTTCTTTAATCCTTTCTGAAATTTTACAGGCACAAAAAAGCAAGCAAATATGTATGTTTTTGGTAAAATAAATAAATAAAGGATTCTATGAAACTAATATTCTATCATCTGCAAAATCTGTTGAATCACCTTCCTCTTCTCAAGGAATCTCAGGTTCTTCCCTGAATATAAACTACCCTGTAGCCCTGTGAAGTGACTGGCATCTAGCACAGGAGAAAATTACCTATCCCTCCAGATTCTTCTTGGACATCTGACAGGTTAGCAAAGGAAAAAATCAACTTAATTTGTGTACAGGGGGGCTTCAGTAACCAGGGTCTCCAGGTTTCTTTCAGTTGGAGAGAAAAGGATTTGAATCTTAAAGCAAGGATGGGGGGCAGGGTGGGGGTGGGGGGGTGCTGGGATGCTGAGCAGCCAGGGAGGGAATGACTTCATGTTTTCTCTAGAAGGAAATATGTGTTTTTTAGAAAGGACATGTTTACTGGCTGATAGGGCCAAACTGCATTCTTCTGAGTGATTAGAGCTGTGATCTCTTCTTTGATTAGGGCTGGGGGAAAGGTTTAGTTAGGTAGGGAACAGCGATCCCTTCTTAGATTAGGGGTAGGGCAAAGGGATTAGGGCAAAGGCAAGAGATTCTTCTTAGCTTCCAGAGCCTTCCTTGTTCTCTTCTCAAAGTAAGCTGCCTGCCAAGGCAGGGTCTTGAAGAGACCAACTCTGAGTATTTGGGGCCTCTGCAACTGCGTGTGTGGCCTCTCTGTGCGCCCCGATGTTAGTAGGATTTGGATAAGGCGCTCCTGCGTCATTGCCTTTAGACAATGGTCCACATCACTAGGCGGCCGGGGAGCCTAGGTAGCCTTTGACTAACTGTGTGGCCATGGTCTGATCATACTTATTCATTACTACTAATAAATAGCAAGGGGGAGGGGGCCTCCGGTGGCACAGTGGGTTAAAGCGCAGCACTATGAAGCTATCAGCAGCTATTGTAGCATGAATTTGATCCTCAGCCAGGGAGCTGACCACATGGCACAGCAGACCTCTCCTGTCTTGCTCACTGCACCCCTCAACAGTGTATTTCAGTCAACCCACCTGTTCTGCTCCCCACTCTGGCGAATCCTCTCACCACCCCCACCCTACCCCTCTGGCCTGCACCCCAGCTCTTGTATGCATAAATAAACCTTTAAAAAAATAATGCAGCAAGAGGGCTGCTCACTGAGCAGCAGAGTCTTGCCTTGCAAATCTGCTCCATGACACATGAAAAAGACGCACTCTACTTTCCATCACAGACTGTAAGGTCTGTGGGGCTACTGTGTAGCTGACTTGGACTTCCTCTTCTCTTCACGGCCTTGAGAACGGCGGATATATCCTTGGTGCTGGTTTCATGGCCCTGTGCAAGCGCCAACTCTGGTGGTCTGGAATGTGCCAGCATACCCCCAGGGGCACACTAAGAGACAAATTGTGGAGCAGGTTTGCGAAGCAAGACTCTGTTGCCCAGTGAATGGCCCTCTTGCTATTTGTTAGCAGTAATGAACAAGCATAATTGATGGCGTGGCAGTGGCAGGAGGAGCAGGGCCCAGGAAGACAAGGGTTGGCAGCTTTATGAGGACATGTTGGCCATGTATACAGTAAGGACTTCCTGAGCAGGTACATGGTGTCTCTTCTGAGCCACTCCCAGACCACCTCAGACTTCAACCACACAATCAGTCAACAGATACCTAGGTGTCCTGGCTGCCTCATGTCTTTGTCTTTTTTTTTTTAAGACTTATTTATTTATGCATGTAGAACTGGGGTACAGGCTGGAGGTGCAGGGGTGGTGAAAGGATTCACCAGAGAAAGAGTAGGGAGCAGAACAGGCAGCTTGACTGAAATGCACTGCTGAGGGGAGCAGCGAGTGAGACAGGAGAGGTCTGCTGCGCCATGTGAGTCAGCGCCCTGGGAGGGGATGGAACTCATGTTGTAGTGGCTGCTGCTGTTTCATAGTACTGCGCTTTAACACTTGCACCACCAGGGAGGGCCCATCTTATCCAGTTCTTTCACATAGACACACTCACACGTATAGAGAAGCCATACACACACATAGGTGCAGAGATCCCAAGTGGTAGAGAGGCCACAGTGGCCTTTGACCTCTTGTTTCTATCACTTTTCTTCTTCCATCACCACTCTTTACTCTTCTTACTAAGTTGGGGTATAAGGCTCATCATTATAACGATTCTCTCAATTCCCTTGCTTCTGTTTCTCCCCCAACCCAGGTTAAATCTCATATTTTGCCTCCATCCACTTGAATCCACCATTCTGCACTTGCATAAGGGAATCTAGCTGAGGAAAAATGCACTGTCATGTGGACTTGCCTCGCTTTAAATCTGTAACCACAGCCCACAGGGGGCCCTCAGCAACCCTGGCCATTCTGCCACATGTCCCTGGTCGATTTATTTGCTATCTCTTTCAGATGATTTTTTTTGAACGCCATTTCCTCTTTCTACTTTCTCACTCTCACTAAGAAATTTTCTAACTAAGAAAATAATACTGAAAATAATACTTCTAGGAGCTTCTTCATCAAATCTACCGACTGGCCTTCCTTCTTTTAGCCTGAATGATCTGTCGCTGTTCCTGTGGTGACCCCACTCTGGGGGCCTGGTTCCCATTCCCTCTCTCCTACACAAGCACTTCCTTTTTCAAAGATTCCCTCTTTTTCTTGCCTTCACAGCACTCCCCTCTCTGCTGGTTTACAAATGTGCTGTAATATCTTCCATCTTAAAAACAAAAC